GAGAGGCAGGCGCTTCGGGTGGGCGCTTCGTGGGGGGAAACGCAGGAGAGGGCATGAGGAGCCGGGACGAGGGGAAGCCGGGACAGGGCCTCGGAGCACAGGTTTGGATATTAATTACAGGGTAGGAGGGAAAACGCAAGCCACCGGTCAGAGAAACCATCTGCGCTCCCCATCCGGTTTGCTTTGCCCTGGTGGCTTGCTACGGTCAGCGTGGAGCGGCCCGTGCAAAGGCGTGGAGGGAGCGAGGGCAAACCCTTCCCCCGCCCCCTGCCACGCGGGGCTCTCCCACAGCAGCAGCAGCAGGATGCGCCCTCGGGAAGTGGCAAGGAAGCGCCTCCTCCAGCAGCTCACGGCGCAGCCCCGTGCGTCCACGCTTCTGAAATAAGTCTTTCACGTGTGATTTACAGGCGGCAATCTTCCGTTTGGGCTCAACGCGCTGCCCGAAGCGTGTCACGCTGCACGCGCGCCCACAGCTCGCTGTGGCAGACGGGTCCGAAGAAACGGCATCGCTGCAGACAGGGCAACAGGAGTTGGAAATATGCAGGGAGGAAATAAAAAAAACCACCTCACGTAATAACAAACTCCGAAGAGCTGCTCAGTCCTCCTGCCTCCTTCTTCTCAGGTCTTCTCTTCTTGCGCTAGTAAGTCTTAAAAACATGATGAGACTCTGTATTAACAATTTACGGCACTATCTGTCCTAGAGCTAGTTAATAAAACCTGAGACGTGCTGGAAAGCAGCCGGGAGGGCTGTGCGAGGTATACTTGTGCTACCTTGTAAGTGAGATCTGCTCGTGTAAGGCTAAGGAGGCCACGCCGCAAGTTTGTAAGTAAGTTAGCTTGCTTTGGGCTCGTCAGAACAGAACATATTTCATCAAACCAAATGCAGAGTTCTAGGTCCATACTCCTAGAGGTGAAGTCATATGCAAAGAATGAGAAATTATCTTGGAAAACAAAGACTCTGTAGAGAAAGTGGGAGATTAGATGAACGAGCAGTCACACACATACTGCCGGTAAGGTACTGCGGCAAAAGAGTTGGATATGCACCAGCAGCGGGAGAACGATTTATTCTAGGACACTGACAAGGCCAAAATAATGATACTGTATCCAGTTCTTCAAAAGATGGAGACATTGAAAAGTGATCCAAGGTTGGAAGGAGAATACTTTGTAACAAAAGACTTCACTTTCTGGATCTTTTTAATTGAGCAAAAAGAAAATAAATTATTTATGTTAATTTCACAGCAGAAAATGCTTGGTACTTGAGGGCCTTTCAGCCTTGCGGAAAAAGACTCAACTGAAATGTGAATCTGTAACTAGAAGCTAAATGTAAAAACGGAAAATAAAGTCAGATGTTAATTAAAGCCTCCATTTTAAAGACCACAGGGGTCCTATTTAGGTCCTTGCAGTTCTGGGCTGACCCTGGTGGTGAACAGTCCCCACTTTAAGTTTGGGAAGTTTTGGCAATGTTTTAATTTTTTATCATCCTTTCTCAGGCTGCCTGTTGGCTTCCCTACAGCTCTCCCAAACCTCTCTTCCCATTGCTGATGGTGCCGCCCTTCCATTTCCAAACCCGTTTCTTTCATACCGCGCAGTAGCAGGATTTGCAAAAGAGGCATTGTGAGGTTGCTTAGCCCTGCACTGTGCCAGGACACAGCACATCTTCATCTTGCAACAATGTTCAGTCTGTTGTATGCTGCCAGAACAGGGGATAAAATCTCTTTGATGCCAGTATAAACAGTAAACCAATTCTTCCATTATTTTATTTATTTTTTCAAGTTAAAGTATTATGGGTCTGTCAAAAGAATTCCCTTCCATAATTTCTATTTTGTAGCTTCATCGTTATTCTGTTGTTATTCATTTCAACCTGTGTCAAGCTAAAATATCTTGAAAAGAAAGCATTTAAAATAAAGATATCCTTGTTACAGACCCTTTTGGTTGCAATAGCAGGAAGGGTGCCACTGTTAATGTCATTTCTCAAAGGTATTAATGAAGTATTCCCAAAGAGATTTTGCCTTTTTTAAGTTAATTAACACTCCTAATTTGCTAATGGATCCCCTATACTCTAAAAGCATTTAACTTTCCCAGAAGTGTTTCGCTGAGTCAATAATTAAGTTCCTTTTTTCAGTATTTTTAAATAAAATATCATCCATAATGTCTGTGCTATGTCTATATAATACATCTACACAGCAGTTTGATCGCTAATGCTGTAAACTATTAAGATCATAAAACATCTATTCCGGAAATCATCATCATAGGACTTTACAATGTTTAAAGAGTGATTAGGTAGTTACTGCTTCCTGTATCAGAAAAAGAAAAGCAACGCTGTAGTTTGAATGAACATAACCAGTTTTTAGACATAGCATTTCAAGAATCTTGTTTTTTATTAAATGGAAAAGTTGAGAGTAGACACGTTTGGAAACTTGTCCATGTCAATGTTAGGAGAAAAGAAAATTAAACACTTTCTACTGCATGTCAGTAAGTGGTCTTTTAAAGAGGAAAATTCAGATGGATTCACCAAATCTTTAGGTTCCACCCACATGTACCTGTTCTTCTAAGATCCGGAATAGCTTTGTCACCAGACCCTATGAAGTTTTGAGAATCACAGGTGACACATGATAGGAAAAAGAGGAAAAGACACAAGGAAGGCCAAAAGGAAGTAGGATTAGAATTCAAAAAAGATCTTGTCCAGGTGGAGCTCTGCTTTGATTCAAGTTGGGTATAATTCAGTGAGAACAGATGTGCTGTTCTGTGCATAAACAGTGATAGTCAAATGCACCAACAAAGAAGTGCATCAGTTTCAGAAGTTTTAGTAAATTAAGATGCTATATGTTTTTTTAAAAATCTAAATACTGGAGTATAAATAAGTGTGTGAGGCGCATTGTGAGGCGCGATTCTTCCTGCTATGTTTCGCTTTGGTGAGACATCATTTAGAATAGCATGCCAGCTTTCCATATCGCACTTTGAACTGAAACACAACTGACCAGGGACAGTCTGCAGAGAGCTTGCGACAAGAACGGTCCTTCTGAAGGTAACCTGGACCCGCAAGACGAAAAAAGGATGTTTCATCCAGTGAAGACTGATGGAACAAATAATGAAGTTTTTCATATCAGTTAAAAATGACCAGAAAGAAGTTAACCTGTCCTCAATAACCATTGAAATAATACAGAGTTTTAACTGTAACAGAAGCACTGGAATAGGCTACAAACAAGGTGGAAGGCGAAAATTCCAAAGTTTCTAAGAAACTACATGGCCTGTCAGGGTCTGCTCTTCTGATGAACTGTGCAGGTGAGAGGACTTACAGCGCACATGTCACTCCCTCTCCTCTCTGCCTCCAAGCCTTGTCACCGACACCGAGGCTAATTTCTTAACAGGCAACCTCTGCAACTTTTCCAACACTTCCTAGGCAATTTCATAGCTTAGGATAGGTCCACATAAACACAGTAACTGGTGACGGACTCTAACTAAGCTGTGAGGAGGATGGGAGAGAAAACTAGAGCTGAACGGGTGAACCTCTTTACCATCAGATTTCACATCTTAGTATCCAAAACAGCTATTTGGAAGGGTGTGCAAAGCCTGTGTTCTGAGGCATGAGTCAGTGTTCACACATCTCTACTCCCACCCGCTGTTACCCACAGATAACAATGTCTATAAGCTTTATTGGAAAGAATATCTACTCCAACACATTTGTTGCTATTTGCCTTGCAGCAGGACAGATTTATTCTTTGCATCTGCTGTTCCCTGCACAGTTTACCGCGCTATGTAGGCTCACCCATGGAAAGTGGGTATGGCCATGCCTCTGCAGCACCTGGAATAAACAGAGAGAGGCACCAGTAAATGAAAGGATGCAGTCTAGGTGTGTTTTCCATGACATGGGTCCCTGAGCAACAGTACCTTAGGGCAGCAGCTTCAAGTGTTCTCTTTAAATAAAAATGTGGTTGCTGTCCTTCCATTTGCATGTCCAGCTCTGTGCGCTCTCTCTCACCTGCTAGCAGCTTATTGCGTGGTACAGCTCAGCTAAACTTTGCATTTATATTCAGTTGCTTCCATAGGATTTCTGGAAGGAAAGTAATTGGCAGTATGCAAGTGAAGGAGCAGGTGATAAGTGAGAACTTAGCCTCAAGCTCCTGCAAACAACCTAGTCACAAACCTGTCCCTGAACCTGTTGGCTTAAGAACTAGGCAGACCTAATGTTTGTAGGCAGAGAATCAGAGGGGCAGTGCCAAAGAGCTGAAGGACTTTTGAAACAATGATAACCATTCCCGAATTGACAGCTCAGTCTGTGCTGTTAAAGGAACCACTCTAGTCATAAGGCAGTTTAGTATATTCAGTGCTCATTCATTTCTCTGCTACTATCAGTTTTTGATAATATTTAAGGAGGCATTTGTTCACCATCCTTTGGACTTTTTCCGAACACTCATGTTGCTAACTGCAGGGTTTTTCTGAAAGCCAAAGGTTCTGTTTATTTGATTAACTTGTCCAGGGGTTAAGGTAACCAACCTGCTCCTACTGATGACATATTAAATGTGATATGTACATGTATATCTTTTAATTGGGATTTAGGGGTTTCTTTATCCTATCTGTTTAAGCTGGGAGCAGATTGAAACATGCCAATACTTGTCTAAAATTGTATTGCTTTCCTGCACTTTTTATGACCAGAGCTTTCCAGGATCCTCACAAACAAACATCGTAAACAGTGAACAAATATGAAGAAATAACTCACATAAGTGGGGTTTGCCTATAATGACTATTTGCTATTAGAATGGCTTCAGTCTTGTGAGAGATATTTATGAAATAGCATATATGTATCAAAACATATCTGCAATGGAATAACTGGTGCACAGGACTGAACAAGGTAATGTTGATCATTTTAAGGAGCTACTAAAACAGGCTAATATTAAAGGAATCATTGTTCTCACTGTGCCATCTGCTCCAGAGCCATTCCTTTGTAATACCGAAAGGAATAGATGCTGAAATGAGCAAGAAAAGAGATTCACAGCAGATAGCATGAAGGGAAGCATGCGCTTGGGGCCGTGTCCACAAGTAAGAGAAAAAAACAAGTAACAAAGAACTCAGAATTGGAATCTGGGTAATATTCTCAATTTCACACTAGCCAGCAACTTTTTAAGCCAGGATAATACAAAAAAAAAAAGGAAGGTAAAGAAAATTAATGAAAGGCCTAGTTTTCTTTGACTTATTTCAAAATAGATCACAGTGAGATGCCAGGCATCTTCTGTTGTTTTCACTGATGCTTGAAGCTGATGAAAATGAACAATTCATGACCTGCAGGCATAGAGTAGGCTGCTGCACCTGTGCAGAATCTAATAGTTAGCTTGCATAACACTTTTGAAAATATTGTTCATGTTTAAGAACATGCTTTATGCCTGTTCTCCTCTGGGATGGGACTTCCATGAGTATGCACACAGATTGAATTTGGAAACTCAGAAGCTCACAGAACGATAAACGGAAGCAAATGCTAGTGATCATTCACATGGCCTAACTCCTGAATTCATAAAATAGGAGTATTAGCCTCAGAAACCTGACAAGGGCAGATTCAGTCACGAAGCAGAGACCTACAGTGCTGCTTTCATGACATAAGAAATTATATGAACCGTTTGTAAAAAATTGCCTGCAAGTATTCTCTACATGCAAGAAGAAAGAATATGGAATCAAATTTAAACAAAAAAGAAGTTAGCATTGAAAAGCAAATGAGTGCTAGGAAGAGCAATGCTTTAAATGACATATAGAAAGAGGAAATGAAAGACTCAACTTTGTCTAGAAAGGCTTTTGAAATGTTTGTCCATCTTGACTATTTTCCAGAGTACTTCACAACTGAAGAGTTCAGATCCACATAGCCCACTCCTTTTCTCCCTTGCTGAGTTTCTGAAAGTGATTTCAATTTGAATTCAGTTGAGGTTGTTGGAAACAAATGTACCAGCTGTTCATACTGCAAAGTGCTTGCGTGCAAGAGAAAAATCAATCATGATGTCCTGATAGCAGCTTTACTTTGAAGATTCCTGGCAAAGAATTGGAAACAATTGTTTTGTGAACAAGGTGATTTTGATTTGGAATCATCTAGTAGATTATGAACCCTATCTATTCAACCTTGTAGCATTTAAAATATCTCCCACAAAATAGCTTACAGAACACTGCTCAGACTTGTACATCCAGAAGTAAAAAATTCCTTATCAAACAAGTACCACGGCCAGAAATTTCATATAGTTGTTATCCATACTGTAATGTGAACATTCCTACCCATTTTAGCTAAAAGTTACTTGGAACTTCTAATGATTATAAAGTCCTGAGAGGTAAAATCCTACATCAGCAAAAAATGGCAAAGAAGGGATTAGTGGATCTTAGAGAGAAGGGCATTCTCTGCTGAAGCATCTGTCCTTGCAAACTCTAAGCTAATTTTTGAGGATTTGTCATCCTCCTATTGAGGAGAGCTATCTTGTGGAAACACCTGTGGCTACAGGTAGAGTTACCCTCAGATCATGACTTCAGCTGTGTGTTTACCACTTTCAGAACAGACATATTTGAAGTAGGTGTGTCGGCGCGGTGGAATAAACCACATAATCACTGCGTGGATAAACAACTATTAACACACTCCATAAAAAATGAAATAGCAATAGCGATTTGAACGCATAATTAACATCATGAATAAAATTAAATAGATCTATCTGCTGAGGTAATGTATATTTTTCCATCAAACTAATCAGTACTGAATAATGGCTAGCATAATATATCTGGGTAAATATAGGCACTTCTTGTTTCCCTAAGATGACAACTAACTAATCAACACACATTCAAACTAGAATACAAGTATGATTGAAAATAAAAAAATCCTAGATAATACAGAATCATTTGAAAAACTTAACCATTTGATTAGAGACATTGGCATGATCTTTCCTAGTTACGCTCTTCTGTGATGGCAGATTTGTCTATCTGCACAAAAAAGGCACAATATTGTTGGGAGGATAAATCAGGAAAAGATTAAGTATTTAGCATGGCATTTTAGAATGCTTGAGCTATACTGTAATTAACAACCCTGCGTATTAAACTTACAACTGTAAAATATAACTAGGTCAACTATAACTAGGCATAGCAGTACACCATCTTTTATGAATGCTCACCTCACATAATTTGGTTGAAATAGGTGCTTCCTTTGCCTGCAAGCACACATTGGCAGTGAGTTTGGCCCACTGAGATATGAACTTTGCCAATATGTGAAGGACACACATATTCAGAGAAAACAAATAGCTCAGAAGTGATTCACTATGTTATTACGGATCAAATCTGAAATGTTATTTGCTTCCAGCCTGGCAGAGACAAATATCACACATTTGGAGAGCTAGATACCGACTCACGCTCCAGACCTCTTTCCTGAGGCGTAGGACCCGGTTTCACTAGCATCACAGTCCAATGGCTGTGCTAACCCTCACAAGTTTTGCAGCAGCTTGTGTGTGGTCTTCTGGAGTTCCCATCAAGGGATGCCCTGTTCTTTGGGTAAAATGGACAGTCAGAGAAGAGAATAGAGGCTTTGCACAGGAATGTCACAGAAAAAAAGCATATCACTCTAGAACCAAGTTACTATCTTTACTCAGTAAACTTTGTTTCCATTTTTAGTGAAGGAACGGGCCTCTGGCTTAGGCACCATGTCACTTTTTTAAAGCAGTTGCAATATGTTTTTTGCTGTGGATATTGCATCCTCCAAACCTTGTCCCAGTTACCTGAGTCATTACAAATAAAACTCACCAATAGCTCTGCCAGTACCGGCTCTGTAGCTCTTTTTGCAGCTCCCAAACCTATTCCACACTGTTTCAAATGGAAATTTTAATGTTGAATATTGCCTACTAAGTGTTAGTTGAATTTTTTTTGACCTATAAAGCAAATTCTGCAGTGTATTAGTTCTACCACTTTCTATCCAGTTTTAATAATCATTTACTTTTAATTTGTCCCTTTGTTGTACACACAGGCCGAATATCTCTGTGCTAAGGAACCTGCTAAAAGTTAACATCCTACACCCTCTCCCTCTACTGATACGTCTATTTAAATGCTCCCTCTTCTATGGTATTCTGT